TAGGTCCAGTCTGACCTTTGACAAGACCGCAGAGACAGTGCAGCTCTGCCTGCCTTTGGGCAGGGAGGAAAAAAATAAAACAGTAAAAATATCAGAAAACTGAGGTGCAGGGGAGATGATGGCCAGGCCCCTTCTTGGCATCCTGGTTGCTTCCTCTACAGCCTCCGGCTGGACTGGATCATCTCTGAGGGTTCTAATCTCCTAGACTCCTAGCAGCTCATAGCTAAGGACAACCAAAGCTCTGCTGGGAAAATTTGGAGCAACTGGAATTTGTGTTCACAACTAATCACAGAGTTAGATGGTACAGCGACACTGGAGATCCCCCCAATCTTCAGTCTCATAACTCTGAACATGCACCTATCATCATTGTGGTGTAGTTGCTACATTCAGGTCAGAGAAATGAAAATCTATGTGCACACTCACGGGTGAATCACAGAGACTATAATTGCGGGGACACACCTCTACTCCACAATACTAGTTTAAAACAAGGAGAAAGGTCCTGTTGCTATGTGCAACACCTTGCATGGATCAAAAGGACATTAGACTGCGTGGGAAAAGCTGACCTCCCAAGTGACCTACTATGTGCTCTGCATCCCATAACACCCTCAGAATGACAGATTTATAGAGAGGTTTCAGTCTGGTAGCTGCCTGGGCTAATGGGAGACAGGGCTCGGCTAGGAGGGAGTGAAGAGAATTGCATGATGTAGCTTTCAATGGGTGGGGGCGGTTCTGCACTCTTGTGGATGGTAGTGGCACCTTGAAGCTGTCCATCAAATGCATGCATGCACCAGTGCACACACACACAGTGAGACCCGACTGTGGCCGGTGTTTTGCAGTCACTGTCTTTCAAAATCAGCAGCCTACTTCTTATATTCTGCATAGTTATGATGATATAATCACCAGGAGAAGCTGAGTGGATGGTTCATGAGACTTAACTTTTTTTATGAGTCTAAAATTATCTCAGAAAGTTTTTATAAAAGTATAAAGAAATTAAAGATTCCCCTCTTAGGGACTAGAGAGATGGCCCAGCAGGTTAAGAGCACTGGCTGCTCTTGCAGAGGACACAGGTTCTATTCCCAGTACCTAGCCGAGGGTGCTCGAAACTACTGTAACTCCAGCTCCAGAGGATCAGATGCCCTCTTCTGGTCTCAGTAGGCAACAGGACTCATATGTACACACACACACACACACACACACACACACACACATTTTAAAATATTTTAATTATTGTTTTTATTACATATACTTAAGTTATACAAGATGACATTTTGATAAACCTATGCACAGTGAATTTGTGATTATAGTTAATTTATCATCTCGACTCTTTTGGCAATGAGTACTCTAAAGTCCTGCTGTGGGCTGTTAGCAATTAGATGAGACAGTATGGAGTGAGCACGGTCCACTCAGAGGGTATGACAAGGCTTTTGTCTTTGTTTTTTAATATTCTACATAGAGATAGAAACCTCTAACTTCAACTGCTGTCTTCCATGTGGCACACACTTGACAGTATTATGGAGACACAGTGTGGCCATTTTGAATACCACAGCCTCTGAGTTTAGAGTTCCTTCCTCCAGACCTCACAGAGGATAATCTATTACAAACAGCCTGATTAGCCAGGCTAGAGAGACAATAACGTTAAATATGACAGCTTGGAACTTTCTAGATGTGGACCACAGGCTCCTGCAGCCACTCGCTTTCTGGATGATCGGTGGAAGACCTGATGTTTCCCACAAGACACTTGTCAGAGGCAATGTCTTAAAAGCCGGTCCAGATTCAGGGGTGCCTGGGAAGTTGTAACGTGTTTTTAATATTTAAACATTTTCCTTCTTATATTCATGTTTCTGTGCATGTAGGGAGAGGGAGATTATTTTGGTTTGTTTTGGTTTGGGGTTTTTTTTTTTGTCTTGGGTTTTTTTTTTTTAAGGAAATTTCCTAATGAGAAGTGTGTGTGTGTGTGTGTGTGTGTGTGTGTGTGTGTGTGTGTGTGTGGTCCTTGAGTCACAAGTCATCCTAGACCTTGCCTTGAAAACAATTTTGTTTAAAAAATGTCACCATACTGGTTTTTGTGTGTGCAAATAAAGTGAGAGGGCAAATAATAAGAAAAGGTAATGTTAGTCCCAGAATCAAGTATTTCAAATATGTCCTTGGGATCTGTGGAGCAGCATGATGAACACAGATAGTAACAGGGTCCTGTACATTTCAGTATTCTAAGAGGGTGAATCTCAAACACCCTCATGCTAAAAACACGTTAAGTATTAGAAGTGATAGGTTAATTTGACTGGCTTACTAATTTCATGCTTTATGAAAGTCATGTTATTTGGTAGTGCATACATTTGCACAATAATATATGACTACGTAAGTTTTAAAGGTAGGACCAATGTAGGATTAATATGAATTGCCAGGATGCAGTGGCTAATCTGAGGATATCCCAGTGCAGCTTTCTGCATTCCCTGTTGTCTGTCTTTGGCTGTCACATCTCTGAGGGGACTTGTTTGTCTGCTGGTTTATATCCATGGAGGTACCCTAAGAACAGCCCAGGTAACACAACAGGCAGACTTGATTAGAATTAAAACCGCCCACGGTTCTCTGTTGGGAAAGTTTTGTTTTGAATTTTTTGTAATGGTCCAGGTTTTAAGAACACGTGCCAGGAAATTCATAGACTGAGTTTGACTTCCAGAGAAAATGCTGTGATTCTGCATCTCACCTCTGTTGGAGGCCACTGAGTCTGTGTAGGACCTGTCACAGGGATAGAAGCCGTGGCCTGCCTGGACACACCACACGACTTTTGCTCTCTAGTCTTTGTTACGGGGGCTGTCTGTACACCCCACGTCTGTGTCCATTCTTCAGTACTTCATGTCAGATCTTAGTCTCAATCTGTCTTGTGGATTGTGTAGTGGGGTGTGGGTAAGAGGGATCCTGAAACAAACTGCTTGAGAGCAGTAGCTCACATGGTTCCAGAACATTCTCTTCTGGATGGTGACTTTTTGCTGACTTTTTTGCTTCTTTCTTACCGTGGTGGTAAAAGTTAATGTGTCTACAGAACTTGCTGTCTGTCTTAGTTAGGCTTTTACTGCTATGAACAGACACCATGACCAAGGCAACTCTTATAAGGACATTTAATTGGGGCTGGCTTACAGGTTCAGAGGTTCAGTCCATTATCATCAAGGCAGGAGAATGGCAGCATCCAGACAAGCATGGTGCAAGAGAAGCTGAGAGTTCTAGCATCTGAAGACTGCTAGGAGAAGACTGACTTCCAGGCAGCTAAGATGAGGGTCTTAAAGCCCACACTCACAGTGACACACCTACTCCAACAAGGCCACACCTCCAAATAGCACCACTCCCTGGACCAAACATATTCAAACCATGACACTATCTTACTGGGTGTGAGGTTGTGTGCCAAGTGCAGTGTCTTCGTTGTCTCATTTAATGACAACAGATCTAGAGACTCTTGCCACCATCATCTTACAGCTAAAGAAGACAAAGGTCAAGGTGCCGAGTAACTTCCTTACGTAGGTTGTCAGCATCCAAGGCCTCTCGACCTCCATGACAGACCTCTTTCCAGAACTGACTTCCATTACCAGACTTGACTCCTCACTGTGACAATGGGACAGGCCTTCAAAGCTGATTTAGAAGAAAGACGTCTGTTACTTTTTCCGCCAACAGGTGGCGCAACCACCCAGTGAACCCTCATTTGATCATCTGGCTTCCATTGCTGTGGAGATGCCCACAGCTCTACCATGAAACTGGTTGTCTTTTGGTGGTTGGCTTTTGCCTTGTCTTATGCAGGGAACAAATGGTATCCTGGGAAATTGGTGCAGAATTACAGAGATACACCTAGTAGATATGTAACATTACCTTCCTCTAACACCCAGTAGGCTTCTAACCATGTCCTCTGAAGGACCAGCAAAAATCCACATGTAAAAACGAAGTTAACCTTTTTATTTTATTTTACCTAACCACAGCATGAGCCTCATAGTCAAGAGCAGCTACATAACTTAAGTGGTTTTGGTTGGCCCTTCTCAAATTAGTTTCAAATCTAGGCACACAAATGGTCTAGGTCGGTTCATTTCCCTGTGGCTGGATCCCTCAGCTGTCACATGTTGTGGTGATGGTAATATGAAGTTAATACAATAAACCCCTAGAGAAGCACCTGGCACACGACGATGCTAATATATGAAAGGTCTCAGGAAGTCCCTGTGCTCTGAGGACGCCCTGCCCGGGTCAGCTTTGATTGTCAACTAGACACAACCTAGAATTATCTGGGGAAAGAGCTCAATGAAGGAATTGCCTAGATCAGATTGGCCTGAGCATGTGTCTGTGAGGGACTGTCTTTGCTGTTAACTGGGGCAGGAGGGCATCCTGGGTCCCTGTTGTGCAGTGCTCCAAGCATAGCTTCCATCCTAATCAGAATAGACATTGACCACCTCTGACCCTCAACAAGATGGCTGCTGACACCTACAGACCTTCCCTTCGAGGTGTCAGGGAGGCTCACTGGACTTCATCTGAGATTCTATTCACCTACTCTGTTCTGCACCCTCCCCTCCCATCGGTATGCAACCCAGATCTCAGGAGGTGCTGATCTCAGGAGTGTGGACCATTGGCTGAAGGGGGCTCTATGCATGGAGCCGTGGGGAAATCTCCATCCATGTGTGGGTCAGACTCTTTAATTGTGCAGCCATGGGGGGATACCCACATTTCTGCAAGGAATCTCTCATCCATGGTTCTGTAAGTGACTCTAATAAACTCACTGATTCACCAAGATGGATTTGGATGGAATCATTACTTTTGTCTGCCACTGGTACACTGGTGTCCACCTGCATATCCCCAGGAAAAGTTCGAGAAACTGTCACACAGAGGGAACTTAGCCATCACCCACAGCCAGGCTTTACACAGGCAACTCCGTGCCCCACCCTGTCAAGGCATCAAGGTTAATTCCCAGCTGCCAGCCAGTATTTAACTTTCCACATAAGATTAAACATTTGGATTCGTAAAAGCCCAGGATTGCAGACTCCAGGCGGCAAGGGCTTACTGGTCTCAAGCTGCACGTGCCCAGCCTGCTGAGATTTACATACAGTCCTGAGAGCTAACATCAGTCAGTAAGAGCGGCAGAGCCTGGCTTTCTGAAGGCCTCTTGCATTGCTCACATACTACATAGGTAAGTTTTATTATATATCTTTTTAAAAGGAATTGCATAACATCTTTTTCCTTTTTCAGAAATATATATATATATATATTTTTTTTTTTTTTCTGGGCCTGTGGTCTTGTTCACTCCTACCTGCCTTCTCTCTACCCACCCCGCTCCTTCCTAAGCTTTTCTGGTTCCTTCCTTCAGTAAATGTCTTCAGATGAAAATGTTGAAAGTATTTTTTTTAATGAAGGATTCATGCTAAGTGTAGGTAATCATATCTTTTTTTTCCACCGTTGACATAAAAATTCAAGACTTTGCTGTCATAGACTCAGATAAGGACAGTGACCCATCATATTTTGAGCAAAGAAAGCCTCAGTCACTGGGGTCAAATGCATGTGACTTTCCTCGAACTGTCCCGAGTGTCCTTGTCAGGTCACATCGTATATTTGTGGTAGGGACAGTGGGAACGAGGGGATCAACGGTGTCCAGGAGACAGGGCACAGCCAACAAAAGTAAGCGAGCGTGGTCTCCATCTTTTGTCATTTATGCATTTGAGCCAACCAGCCACAAGAGGTGGAAAAATGGGCTACTGGGATGTGTTACCTCTGATCAGACAGACTGAGTCCTGGGCCCTGGCCTGGGTCACTTGCTCCTAGGCACAGTGGCCAATTTGAGAGCCCTGATCTTAGTTAGACAAATGGAGCTAAGCACTCTAGGCTGTCATCGAACCGCCCACCAAAGAGCAAGCTGGCCTCATATTCCCCTGAGACCCATCCTGTTCTGAGACTCAGCAAGACCCACTGAGTGGAAATACAGTTCCCACAGGTGGAATGGCATGATGCTGACCTACATAGATGGTGATTTTATACAGTTCAGTGGATGTACACTGGGTTCTCTGGGTATTCCGAAAGCACAGTGCCTTGTGTGAGATTCATGGAGGGAAAGAAAGAGTGCCAAGCATGGCTGTCTGTGAGGTCACTGCATATCCTAGGGGTCAAAATCTTAACCAACCCCTTTATCGTTTTTAAAGGTAACTTGTTATTTATCCTTTACACTTTGCAGATTTTTTAATTTGTGTATGTGTGAGTTTATGTGTGCGTGTGCGTGTGCTTGTGTGTGTGTGTGTGTGTGTGTGTGTGTGTGCTTGTGTGGTGCGACTGCCAGCCCAGACAGACCGCAGTGCGTATGGGCAGGTCAGAGGGCAGCCTCGGGGTCAGTCCTCATCTTCCACTCCCAAGTTTGCTGCTGTGTTCAGGCAAATTAGCACAGTAACTTCCCAGGACCCTCTTGTGCATATGTCCCATCTCTGCACAGGAGCACAGGGATTACGTATGCATGCAGGTGCCACTCATCACGACCCAGGCCCTCAGGCTTGGCAGTTAGCATTTGGCCCACTGAACCTTCATCTCCTCTGCCCTTACTTTACTACTGGAAATTGGTGTGCCAAGTGTGCCGTTTTCCTGCATTTTTAGCTTTGGTTAGTCCTCCCTTATAGCTCCTTCTCTGTCTCCCTGACTGCCTTTCATCCTAATATTTCTCTTTTCCTCTCAGTGTGTTCTCTTTAGCATTTGAATATGTTTTAACATAGTCTCTATCAATAAATGTGCTTGCACACAGTGCCTTGAATTCTTCTGTGGCCATGAAACATTAGACTTCCCAGCCAAGCCACATCCCATGCCTCAGTATGCAAACAGTAAGCCCTTCAGACTCGACTTCCTCAGCCTGGGTCGAGGGCAGCACTCAGGCATTTATTTAATCCCTGTGGGCCCTTTCAAGCCTATAATTAAATCTGAACAAAATGTCCTCGTGATCTGCTTAGCAGTGAAGAGCTGAGCAAACAATGAGTAGCGCAGGCCACTCAGCCCTCGGGGCTGCCAACTATGTCCACACCAGGAAGCAGGCCCGAGTGGCTGCAGTGGAGTGCCTTGCTGAAGTCTCTCTCCTCAGGATACCTGTGGATGGCAGAGAGCTTGCATGTCCCCTGAAAGTGAACTTAGAGCTTCCTATACGCATACATAAACTTCATGGAGAAAAATAACTTTGGCTACACTCCTTCAGAGCAAATGTCATTATTTAAACGACAGTGCACACCTCTGCCACATCACTTGGAAAGGGTGCTTGGAGTGTACTTGGGATCAATCTCATCTGTTTGCTAACTTTCTCTTTAGCCTACCAGGCTTTGATTGGCAAGAAGGAAAGAGAGATCTTAGAGACCTTTGAAGAACAGAAGTTAAAATGTCAGAGGGACGGGAGCTATGGCTCAGTGGAGGCAGAGTTGCACTTACAGAGGACCAGAGTTCAGTTCTCAGAGCACACATGGTGGCTCACAAGTATCTATAACTCCACTTCCAAGGGCTATAATACCTTATAATACCTACTTCGGGCCTCTTGAGGCACCTGTCGTGCATATGATATAGATATATATATATATATACATACATGCAGAAAAAACACCCACATGCATTAAATTTAAATATGTCTTTTAAAAACATATATATATATATATATGAACAAGATTCTCAATGAAAGCAATGGAAGGATGTTTTATGAGAGAATTAATTTCTGGGAATTCATGGGCAGTCTTCTCCAGATGAGGCTTTGAGGTGGGAGAGGGTGTAATAGTCTAGGAGGTAGGGCAAGACTGAAATGTTCTCAGACAAGAAATGGCTGGGAGGAAAAGAAGTAATCATAACTAGCCGGATGCACATAGCCATATGCCTCATCTTATAATGCACATAAGCCGTATCCCTCATTGTAATGCATGTAAGCCATATCTCTCATACTATAATACACATAAGCCATATCTCTCATCTTATAATGCACATAAGCCGTATCCCTCATTGTAATGCATGTAAGCCATATCTCTCATACTATAATGCACATAAGCCATATCTCTCATCTTTTAATGCACATAAGCTGTATCTCTCATTGTAATGCATGTAAGCCATATCTCTCATACTATAATGCACATAAGCCATATCTCTCATCTTTTAATGCACATAAGCTGTATCTCTCATTGTAATGCATGTAAGCCATATCTCTCATACTATAATGAGCCATACATAAGATATACTTACTATACATAAGCCATATCTCTCACCTTATAATGCACATAAGCCGTATCTCTCATCTTTTAATGTACATAAGCCCTATCCCTCATTATAATGCACGTAAGCCATATCTCTCATACTATAAGGGTCAAGTGCAGGAGTGGGTCAGGTGGGAACTCAGGCCAGGTAAATCTTGTTAAGGAATTAGGAGGTTATTTTAAGAGCAACAGGAAGGTCCTGCATCCTGTGATGTAAGGTAATGGTATAGCCCTACTTTCCATCTTACAGAGAAGGTGTCCTTGTGCAGGGAGAGAAGGGCACCTGCAGCCTAAAGAGACATTTCCAGGAGGACCACACAGTGTTTCAGAGCAATAGCAGTGGCTGCACAGAGGCCGTGAAGATGAATATGAGAGACGGATTTAACTGTGAAGAAAACTCGGTTTATTTTTTGGTGTTACTATCTAAAATACCCTTTTCTGAGGGGCGTGTGTGTGTGTGTGTGTGTGCACGCGCACATGTGTGTATCGTTTGTCTACCAGCAACAGCTAACCTTTTGACATTGTGACAAATGACATCAACAAAGTTCACACACCAGAACTGTGTGATCAAGTAGTTACAAAGAAAAATGTCTCATAAATTGCAACAGATGTACACACATACATACCACACACACATCACATACACTCACACTCACTACACACATACCACATACACCATACACCCCACACACCCATACATACCATACTACACATACACATCACACACACACCACATACATACACACTTACACCACACGCACATCACACACAGTCATACACAGACACACACACACACAAACAGCACCTCATAATTTCTTAGTGTTTTAAGGAGCTTTATGCTTTGAGGCTGCATATATAACTATCTTGGGCCATATGTCGGGCACACCTGGTAAGCTTAGGACATAGGACATATTTTTAAAAGTCTATCTTTGCAAACTTTTGCCTTATTGCTGCACATAAACCCCTGCAGTTTGTAAAAGCAAAGTTCCACTGCTTCTTTGAACAGCAAGCATGCTGCATGCATGTCATGAACACATGTACACACATGAATGCATTTGCTATCGACTGAGAGATCACCCATGTTTTTCAGCACAAACAAATGCAAGATGATTGATAAGAATTCAAGATTCAAGAAAAATGCCAAGAAAAGCAAAAATACATGGTTATAAAAGCGTCTGTATATATGTACACTTTTTGGTCTACTTCTTTCTAGTCTTTCTCCATTTTAATTTATGCGTATATAGTGTATAAATGCCTTTATACAGCATTATGTCTTCTATTACATTTATTGTAACAGTGCATTCAAAAATGAATAAAAATGACTGTGTTTGATTTAAAGACTACCCAATTTTGAATTCAATTTATCAGTAGCCTGGCTTAGAAACTGCGTTCTTTCCACTTGCTCTCACCTCCCTACCTCCCTGGAGGTAGCCAAACAGAGAAAGAGCCTTAACCTTGCTAATCTCTATTCTCATTTAGTTACAGCAAGGGGGAAGCATGGCCACATTAGCCAATTTGACCCAGACACTGGAGGATGTCTTCAAAAAGATTTTTATTACTTATATGGACAACTGGAGGAGGAACACAACAGCTGAGGAGCAGGCACTCCAGGCCAGAGTGGATGCCGAGAACTTCTACTACGTCATCCTGTACCTCATGGTAATGATCGGCATGTTCTCGTTCATCGTGGTGGCCATCCTGGTGAGCACAGTGAAGTCAAAGCGGCGGGAACACTCTCAGGACCCGTACCACCAGTACATTGTGGAGGACTGGCAGGAGAAGTATAAAAGTCAAATCTTGCATCTGGAAGACTCCAAGGCCACCATCCATGAGAACATGGGGGCGACAGGGTTCACAGTGTCACCCTGATAAAGAACAAGGGTCTGTCTGGCTAGGATGGGGTGCTTCTGCTGCCTCAAGAGCCCCACTTGTCCTTGCTCAGAAGAAAGCTAGTTCCTCTGTGCAGCCTAGCTAGCCAGTTGACGCAGGTGATGTTTCTATCTCAGTGGTTTAGGTGAGCCTGTCGGGGTGATACTTTATGCTAAGGATCTCTTTTTCACTTGCTGTGCATTGTAAATGTCATTTAAATCTATTTCAATCATAAGAACAGAGGCAAACATGGAGCAGTGGGACTGGGCAAGGGCAGTGGGAATAGAAAGCAGATATTTACAAATCTTTCGACCTTCTTTCTCATGAAATATTAGTCTGGATGTAGCAAATTCAAGTTATGAATAAGTCAAACCTGTTCAGAAGCTGGAGTTTAAATCTCTCTCGGGCTTGGTGAACTGACTGGAGAGCATTCACTTACTGATTTACGGGCAGCGAGTCCAAGGTGATCAGTGGACAGAAGTGTGGGGTTATTCTGCATTCACAGCTTTCCTGGTATTTAACTGATTTAGACGTCTGGACAGAACAAACACTGAAAGGACAAATAATCCACACCAGAAGCAGAAAATATTCAAGAGCCCCCCTCCTACCCCCACCCTCAGTGCAACCAAACATATTTTTAACTTTTTACAGAAACTTAAACTTTAAAAGCTCTCTGACTTGAAAAAGTACAGCCTTTCTTCCTAAACATCATTCTCTTTACTTAATGTTAGATCCGATTTATAGCTTATTTTCAGACGTGTTTGACAAGGTGGAAGCTACAGAACACCCTCTAGATGTCTGATGCAAGCTAGACCATGGCTATTTAATCCTTTGCACCACAGTTGCGGGCTAGAGAGATGTTGGTCAAAGGCTACAGATTTTAATGGGGCTGGGGATGCACACCCATAACCCAACCCTCAGGAGACTTGGTGGGAGGGGCTAGCTGAGGTTCCAAGCCATTCTAAATCCATTGCACTGCAAGATCAATAATTCTGCCTTTTGTTCTTAAAAACTGATACCTGAGGATAGTAAGTATCCTTACCACAACACAGTAACTAGATGAGATGATATGTTAGTCAGTTCACAATGTGTATACACTTCAAAACATCATGTTACGTGTGTGATACAATGTAACCTGTCCTTAAAAAAATAAAATGAATATTTTGCACAACAGAATACATAGTGTCATCATGCCAGAGCTGAAGGGCACCTTGGAGGTCACCCTGTACCACTTCACCTACAGATGAGAAGACTGCAATCTATCCAGATTAGATCTTTTCTTCATTAAATCAACTTCATGGCATTTATCTACTTGGGTTACTGGCCTGGGACCTGGGAGTGAGAGGAGAGTGACATCTCGAGGTGTGGGAGCTTGTAGAGGGGTTGGGGATGGGTCATGGGGAGGTTGAGGAACTCACACATGGGGGACTGTGACACTGGAATGTGACAGGTCTGAACAGAGCTCAACGGGAAGTGGATGTGGCTGGAACAGAGACATGAGGATGAGGACAGAATAGCTGCAGGTAGGATGTCCAGGGCAAACGAGAGCCATGTTGGTCCCTAGCATCATGCTGTCCATTCCCCATGTCTTTAGTACACCATGGCCAGGGCACAGCCATTGTGAGTGGGCCTTCCAGCCTCAGAGGACAAAGACAAGAGTCAAAGGAGACCATTTCTGTTCCCATAAGATGGTGCCTGACTGGATGATTCCTAGGGGTTATTCTGAGTTATTCTGTGGTTCTGGAGGCTGGGAGCATGAGTACTAGCATCTGAGGTTCCTGGTGAAGATATCATATGACTTTAATATATGACAGAAAAAGGATGACCAGCTAACAGACACACCCTCATTATAACAGTGTGTTCCCTGGTAGTCAGTGCAGTCCACTGACTACCACTGATAAAGCTCCCTCCACAAAAGGCTGTGCATTTCTTTTTGGGATGGGGGGAAGCACCTCAAATGCCTCCCTCTCATCTCAAGTTTTAACATGAGTTTTGGTGGTCACAAACCATAAAGCCAACTACAATGTTTGTCTCTTTATAGAAGGGGATACAATGTACATAAAGCACGTGCTTCCTGCAACATGTTTGCATGTACGCTACCAGAGAAGGTAAATAGTGTTAGAGTAAGGCATTCCTAGTCCAAGAGAAGACGTGCTAGGAGTAGCTTCCTTCTGCAGACCAGAAGCCTAACATGCTGATGAACACCAACACGGCCAACCTAGATAGCCCAGACCCAGAGATCCTAGCCTGGGGCTGTATCCAGCCAGGTTTTCTACCCTAATAATGACTTTCTTTCTTTTTTTTTTTTTTTAATCAAGTCAAGGTTCCCTGAGCCTCCTTCCTGACTAGGCTCCAACTTTGGCCAGTATATATTGTATACTCTTGGTACAAATTATTTCATTGACCTTCATATCCCAAGAGACTTGGATAAATTAATATATTTTTTTCTAACAGCTCAAAATGGTTAGCCAGCCCCTTAAAGTACTTGCCCAAGAAAGATGAACCACGACCAGGGAGACTGACTGTACAATCCAGCCAAAGAAGGCAGGCAGGCTTCTCAGAACCCTCTCATAGCAGTGAGAAAGCTTGCAATTACAAATCCTTTCTCTTTCCCTTTGAGGAGTAATTCTTCTTCCATCTTAAAAAATAAATGTCTCTTAGAAATGCAGATACTGAGACCCTGCAAGAATAATTCTTCTAGCATCTAGAAATAGCTCTTTGAAATACAAACATGGAGACTCTGCTGGGCATGCCCCTTGCAGGTCTAAGGAGCTTTGTTTCTCCCTCAGAACACAACACAAAACACACACCCCCTTCCCTGTGTTTGTAAATTTTCACTTGGCTTATCTGTTACCCAGGAAAACATATTGGTGGTAAAGTCCAGGCTTTCATTAAGCATACTTTCTCATCATCACTGGAAAATATGGTTATAACATGGGCATCAATCAGTCGATTTTATTTAGGGAGAACAGGAGAGATGCTACATCTTTATGTAGTAGTTAATATGGTCAACTTCACAGGATCTAGACTCAGGTGACAGACAAGCTTCTGGAAATGCCCATGGGGAAATACATAGATTGGGTTAAATGAGGTGGGAACACATACTCTAAATGGGCATCACCATTCCCTAGGCTGGGATCCTGGATGGAACCTAAAGGAGACCAAGTGAGCACAAGCCTCCATCACTCTCTTCCCGGCTGGACTCAGCTAGCTTAGACAAGCCCTTGCTCCCCTAAGCTGCATCTGTCAAGCATTTTGTTATGTTAACAGCAGGTAGTAGCACGTTGGACCAGTGTCCAGTTGTTGATCCATTTACCCCAGCTTCCCCCTCCAGTGAGGCTTTTGAAATGAAAATGTCAAGTCAAACAGCTGATTTTTTTCTATCCATGTCCCCTTTCGAGTCTTTCTGCTTAGCCTGCTGGTTCCACACACCTGAGTAATACTTCAGTCTTAAAGTGCAGATTCGAAGTTATCGTAAAAGGAACAGGTGCTAGGGGCTGATCTGCTCCTAGTCTCACAACCTGTGGTGAGCCCCAGGTCTGGCGTGTGCTGGCCTAACCCTCTAGGGGGAAAAAAGCCATTCTTTGTGTTTCTGTTTCATCATTTGTGAAATGTTATCATTATAGCGTGTTCTTTTATATGTCTCGTAGAATTAAGTTAAACGATAGACTCAAAGTGATATTTTCTTGTTGGCACAACCAGGTCTGTGAAACCCTCTGCACGCTAACATTTTCTACTTCATCTCCACAAAGAAACATAATGAGATCTGAAGCTAGATTTCTTGGGTTCAAGTATCCACTCTGCAATTAGTGTCAGCACCGGGCATCAGCTCCCGCCTCCACAAAAGAGGGAGTTGGTGAGAACTTTCCCTCTCTATAGCCTTGTACAGGGCTGCTCTGAGCCTTGCCACCAGGCACGCTTTTGGGATTCACTGGTTAGAAATGAAACTGGGACCCCAAAGTCAGGGTATCCTTCAGTTATCCCAACCGAGAGGCATTCTTCTTGTCCCCGTGGAGGAAGGCTAAGGCTGCAAAACAAAACAAAACAAAACAAAACAAAACAAAACAAAACAAAACTCCTGGGACCTATTTCTTCACCTGTGTAGAAGAGGAGTCAACATCCAGCGGACATGAGCAAAGGGCCCCAGGCCGCACCTCAACCCCTGCGGACCACCCTCAGGGGTCCTATTTGGGTTTCTGCAATAGCCTGAGATCCCCGGGAAACTGCCCTGACGCCCATAGCGCCTGCGCTTTGAGCAACACGCTCCTTGACGCCAGCGCATCTGCTAGAACCCTAGAGCCACTGAGCCTGCGTATCAAGCCAGGCCCTTCACGACGGCGCTTCCGTTCTAGCGGTGCATTTTGGGACATGTAGTTTTCACGATGAGATTGTGGGAGTCGTGGTTTGTGAGCACCAAGCGAGGAGGCCCAGCCGCCTTGAGTTGTAAGTGTGTGACTGAGTCTTTGGGGAGTGGGGATCCCTTGATCAACTCCCGTTCGTGCTTCTCTCGGGATGACACTTGCTGGCTACTGCCACACTGCGCGGAACCCTTATAGTCTGGTCGCCTTGTTTTGGGGACGCAGGGAAGGAGCGATGATAACTCCCGGCCTTCTACCTCTCCTCTTGTGAAGCAAATGCGTGAGGGCGAGAACCTGGCTGGGCGCTCCCAAGTACCCAGGGATAGCAAAGCCCCGTTTGATTCTGTGGTGCCCCAGATTGCAGAGGCGCCAAAGTTGCTCACATGAGGTGTGCCGTTCCAGCTAGGAGGGAGGTGCACCATAACTCATAGGCTCTCCAAAGCTTTGAAATTTGGAATCTGGCCACCCGGATAAAGAGGGTCTGGGTTTCTTGAAAACCAGTGCCTATGCGGAGCGGGTAACTGAGGTTCAGGGGTCACAGGCTACCTGAACCTACCGATACTTTAAATGATTGGCTGAGGAATTGGAGTGAAGGGGGTAGAGACTGTGCCGTTCAGACAGTTCACCCGGCTGCTCAGAGGACGAGTGGGTGGGTTATATGCTGAGATAGGTGGCCCCACGACTCTGTTAGCCCTGCCAAGGAGCACAGGGAGCTCGTGAGCAGAATATTGTTCATGTCGTTTTAATTGGTGTAATCAAAGTGAGCGAATACCTTCTTTGTTTCTAGAATAAAACCTGGCAAGCTGCTTTGCAATGAAGATCAAAACTACTAGCAGTTTTATTATCTAAGCCCTTTTGTGGTCGTTAAGGGTTAAGCCCGGACAGCTCCCTGCTGTTTCTTATATTTTAATGGCCTCCAGCTGTCCTCACCCTGGTGGCTTTGGCTCACCCTCTGCTGCCAGCTGCTGCTTGTTTCTGAATGGCACCAGGAGTCCGTGATATCAGAGCAGACGCTCACTGTTATATTTAGCTTTCTTGGTTGTCCCATTTGTTTGGGAGCTGCAGTGAAAACGTCTACTTTGGTGTGTGTAGTTTAAAGCAATGGGTGAAAACGAACGGGGCTGATCTGGGCCGTTTTTACTCACCCCACCCACTTCATACCATTACAAATTTCCCTTTGCTTTTACTTCCTCCTCCTTCTCCTCCTCCTCTTTTTTTCTTCTCTTTCTCTCTCTGTGACAGGATGCCCTGTATCTGAGATTGGCTTCGAACTCTTTCTCTGTAGCTTTGGATGACCTTGAACTCCAATTCCTTGACCTCCAGACCTCCACCTCCCAAGTGCTAGGATTACACAGGCTTGTACCACCATGGCTGGTTTGTGAGTTACTTGGATTGAACCCAGAGCTTTGGGTTAGCACTCTGGCTGAGCCACACCCACAGCCCTCTGCTTCCTCCTCAGAGACCTTACCTTTTTAACCCTCTAGGCGCCAGTCTTTTTGACATCAGTTTCTGTGACATCAGAGAGAGCAGAGAGTTGTGAACTCCAGAGTGGGAGACTTAATATTTGGTCCCTGATATTCCAAGAGCGCTTTGGCTCAGGAGGCTAACAACTTTCCCAGGTCATATGCCTGGCCCTCACTGCCATCTGGAGTAGAGCCCTGTCCTCCTCCTCCTTGCCCTTATTCTTTACCCCATGCCTGTCGTCTTGTACTGACTACATCCTGCCGCACTGCTGTTTGTTATCCAGCAGGACCATTAGCAAAGGAGAGACATTATCAAGACAACAATGCTTTCATGTGTCACTCATGCTTCTTAGTGATTACTGGCCAACTTCTGAAGGAGAACTTACTGATGAAAGAAGCTTTGAGAGGCCAGGGGCACATTGCTGCTAAGTGTAGTAGGTTTGCCAGACCCCCAGACCCCTGGGTATTTTCTTTCATTTATTTCCTCTTGTAAGCATATTGGGCCCATTTGTTTTCCTTGACCTTGGGGGTCACTATCCTGAGCATATCAATTCACATAGGTGATTTGTGGGAAACAGTTAAATCATCTACCATATAATAGGTATACAACTCAATTAAGAAAGAATTATAAAAACAAAATGGAAACGAATGTAGATATTTTGTTTTATATACAGTATGGCTAATCCCTAAGATTATTAGACATCCAAAGTACATTCCAGCAGCAGGTTATAACATGCAAAGAACTCATTTTTCCAGTGTAGGGCAGAATCTGCTGCTATTTAAAGGCAAACACTTGCAGGAAGTGGGCACCTTCAGCTATCCCTATCACCTTTAAATAAAGCTTTGAATTATATGTTTCTTGGTTTATCTGACTTTGCACAAGCCAAAGGCAAAACTTGCTTATCTTGTGCCAATAGCTAGTTGATTTTCTAAGTTCTGTAACCTTGAATAGACTGAGGTCTGAATTTTATATATTAGATACTTTTATAACTGGAAATTTTTTTCCTGCACCATTTCCCATGAGGTTTACTTAAGGAAACCCGTTGTATAAGATGTATGGAATTTCACATTGCTTTTTTAATTCTAGTCTTAAGTTCTCATGAAGGAAAGTGATCTTGAAGCTCTCCCTCTGTATCCAGGTGACTTGCTGAGGCTAAAGCTCCCAGACCTGACTGACTGAATGTAAGATAGACAAGGAGAAGGGAGACCTGGGGCTCTGCTTGATTTGAGCTACACATAGTGCTTTCCCAGCAAGCTGGGCTCTCCCCCACACCCATACAGAGCTGCATGCACACCTCTCTTTAAACAGAGGCTTATGGACACTCCAAACTATAGCTCCTTAGCAACGACCCTCAGTAAGTCCTTTTGCTGACCAAATATATCCTGAAACTAGGGAACATGGCTAGACCCAACATATACTGGTTTTGAGTGCATGTACAGTAAGGCAAACTATGACCTTAAAATGAACATTTAGGGGGGAAAATCCCTATTTGCCCTCTTTTGGCTGTACCTAATTTGGAGCAGACAGGATTAAAATCAAATGCATTGTGGGAAAGGATGTGAACTAAAGCTTTAATAACCCATATAAATTAGAATCAAAGGACACCCAACTGCTATCAGTCAGCTACCAACCATCCTGAACTCACAAAAGGAAGCCACAGGCTTGTCCACTCCAGCTCAAGTAGCCTGTTGGTGTCTTGTAGAGTACCTGGCCTGTGCCATGTCTGTGCTTCTGAACAGAATTCCTTGTCACTTTTTGATCTATATGCACTTTCAATTTTTAAAATACGGTACCAAGAACCCAGAGACACCCATTTGGAACAGAGAACTCTGGTACTAGGTAGGTTCATATTCTGGTTACACACCAGAGGACTTAGGCCTTATGTCTTCCCTCTATAAAGTAAAGGGGGTAAAATGGAGACTTGCTGGCTTACCTCATCTAAGCATGTTAGTACAGACAGCACAGTAGAGTCAGGCTGTGGATAACTTCCTATAAAGTCAAGTTTCAGAAATAGCAGGGCCCACCTGGTTGACAGTGGCGTGTGCAGAAGCTTCATCCAGATCTCAGGTGTTCTGGCTGTGAAGGCAGGTGTCATCGCTAATGAGACACAAGACCCTGGACAGTCTGTTCTCTGGCTGTCCCTGCAATCTCCCTTGCTCAAGGAATTTTGTGTACAAGTTAGTCATTTTCTCAGGACAGTTTTGTTTTGTTTTTCTGTCATTTATTCTTCCCCTCCAAATAGTTTTTGGTTTGTTTTTATTTTAAGCCAGGATGAGCACAATTAGTGTCCAGAAAGTCTTTCATCCCCAAACAAGCTTGTCTTCATGTCAGGAGAGGGTGGGACCATTTATGAGTGTGGACTTTAAGTGCACAGAGGAGTCGGATGGGTACAGATGCTTCACAACAGCACTGTGCAGGGAGCTGCAGAGGGCCACAAGGAACAGGGTCACCTTATGCAGAACTCCTGACCCACCTCTGCCTGCTCTCTGTTCACAGGCCTCTCCCTATCAAAGATGTGGCTCCCTAATGTGCTCTACCTGGAAGCTCTGCGTTGACCCGTTTCTCTGTCTCTCTTTCCCAGATCAGAACTTCCAGCTCCTTGGACCCGACCTTCCATCTGCCTCTCATGCTTGTGTATACCGGTTACATCAATCAGAAGTGAACTCACAGCCGGCCCGCCATGAACTGGAAGGTGAGAATAGTTCTTAAAAGTATATTCTGGTTTTGTTTTTGTTTTTGTCTTTCCACGTATGATGTCTGTCACACTAGCGGAATACCTGGGCTCACAGGTCTGGAAATTCCAGCCTTGCTGTGGATGTGAGGTGGACGATGACAGACAGCATTTGGTGGAGAATAGAAGTAGGTAAGACTTTTCATTTTAGAACCCAGTGAGCAAAGTGGAAAGACAGACCAGAGTCCCTTAAACTTCTGTGGACATAATTCCAGTGACCTGAGAACCTCCCAAAAGGCCCCACTCTCTGAAGGTTCACTGCAGTTCATGGTAACACTACCAGGGAGCCAAGCCTTTAACACACACCATAGCATTGAAGATTGTAAGAGCAACTATATCAGTAGAGTGGATACTCTGTATCAGTAGAGCAGATCCACTGTTTCAGTAGAGTAGACACACTGTGTCAGTAGAGTAGACACACTGTGTCAGTAGAGTAGACACACTGTGTCAGTAGAGTAGATACTCTGTATCAGTAGATACTGTATCAGTAGAGTGATACTTTTTCAGAAATTGTATCTGTTCTCCAATAATCTCATATTCATTAGTGTCTGATGGTCCTCACTCCTGGCTCTCATCTCTTCCCAGTCCTGTGAACTTCCCTTCCTCCCCTTAAACCCCTACTTACACCCATGCCTTTTTAAATTTTGTGACTTGCTGAGTCTAATCAGGGCTGTCTCTGTTACCATGGGTTTAGGACTGTTCAATGGAGCCTGGTGGGAGTGGAGCTTTTTTTTTAAAAAAATAAAGTAGACAAAAGATAATCACATTTAATGTTTCAAACATGTAAAACTTGTGAATTTACATTTGTTCTCCAGACTGCTGGAGGAAGGCTGGGCCTTTCTTTGAGTATGCCTCCCCTAACTTCAAACTGTCTCACTTTTCTGCAAACATCTGGCCATTAAAGTTTCTCTTAGCAGTCCTCGCTTTTGCTTCTTTGAAGCAGATGTAATGGGTGAATGGTAGTGCTTCTCAAATCTGTTTGTAGCACTTCTGAGGCAGTATGATGTATTTCGAGGTGGGGCCTCTGGCCATGTGGCTCCCTCATGCGTGGGACCAGTGCCTCTGGTGGCAATCTCAGTTGTGGGAACAGAAATAAGCCATTCCTTCCTAAATCTGTACTTAACAGAGTGCTTTATCCCAGCGACAGAAAAGTCAATAAAGCATTAAGTGCCCTGACAAAACAGACCCCAAAAAGCTACCTAGCCCACTTTCTGCTGCATGATGCCACAAGTCTGTCCCATATCCTGGAAAAGGCCCTCGTTAGCATCCGACCATGCTACACTTGCTCTCAGACTGCAGCCTCCACACATCCGTTTATAACTTTGATGCACAAGCCTGAGGGGAAGACAGTGGACTGAGATCTTACAGAATGTCCAGTCTTTGTGGTCTTCATCCGTAATCTCATCCAGCTGTTTTGCCAAAAAGCATTGGGGTTTTTTTCTAGCCACACTTGATTCTCTCAAAGAACTAAACTCGGTTTTCATGGAAGCCACCTTTTAAAAGGTCATAAATTACCCATGGGAGCAACAAGGACAAGTTGAACTGACTGGGAAATGAATGAAAGAGATTCCAATAAAAAACATTAGATTTAGCAATTGGAACCGAGGTGGAGGCAAGCAGAGCATAGTCTGCTGGCTGTCTGCATACCTGGGTGTTGGCTGTCTGCATATGGCTATGGGAAAGGGCAGGATTCATTCAATTAAATACCCGAGAGCCTTGAGGTAAAGTGGGAGTTGGTTAAAAGAACAGCCGATTAGCCAGGCTGATGCACACCTACAATGCCAGAAGGTGGGAGGGAGAGTCAGAAGGATCCAGTAGAGATAGGACCAGGTAAAGATAGGTAGGCAGAGAGTTCAGGGCTAGCCTTGACTACACAGGGCGGCTGAAGTCAGGCAGGTCCCAGGAGCTTGCTGGCCAGCTAATGGAGCTGAAATCCTGAGCTGGGCTCCATGTTCAGGAAGAGTAAGAGAAAAACAATCCTCATGTAGGCACAAGCAAGTGGACCAGCACACATAAAACATGCAGTCACACACACATGAGCACACATGTACCCATACACACATGCATTCATGCTTATACTCACATGCACACACATGTACACACACTTAACACACTCATACACATGAACACATGCTTGAACACATACCTGCACACATTCATACATGAACACATGTGCACATAAGCACATACACACTCACACACATAAACACGTGTACACATATACATATGTGTACACACACATGGCACAGCACACATGAACGAATGTACACACCCACTCACATAAACACATGTACACATGCGCGCGCGCACATGCATGCATGCTTGCACTCACATGCACATACACACACTTAACACACGGCTACACACTCAAGCACATGAACACATGCTTGAACACACACCTGTGCACACACATACATGAACATGTGTACACATATACAAACATGCACACACATGCACGCACTCACACATGATCAAATGCGCACACACATGCACACACACACGACCTCACACACACACACAGTTGATCTCACCCGCTCCAGCAGTACAGGTCTGCATATTTTGAGAGAGAAAAGGAGCTTAAAGGATAAGAGGAGATGAGTGAGAAATTAAGGCCAGTTGAAGCCAGTTTCTAACCCTTCTGGGGCAGAGAGGGGGGCAAACTCTTTAGCCCTTTAGTGTTGCTGCCTTCTGCTGGCATCGCCTGCCCTCCCGCTGACATTGCCCCCTGCCCTGGCCTGGGAACTCTTGCCTCTCTAGACTCCTTAAAAAGAAAATAAATAATGGAGCCACCTAGCCTGTATCTGACAGCTATATTTCCTTTCCAGTTTGTTTTCTACCTTCCTGTTCAGATAATACATCCCTGCCCTTGCTGAAGCTGTCTGGGACTTGTACCTTAGAGAACCGTGGGCTGTGGCGTGGGCTCCATCTTACAAGGATCCCAGGGTGTATCCATGGGGATGAGAGACAGTATGCTGTACAGATCTAAGGCAGTCTCAGTCTCAAGCAGCCTAGGGAATGTTAGGAGGTTTATGTGGCAATGTTCACATCTCCCGCCAGCTAGACTGCTCAGCTGTGTGATCCTCACTCCTCGGTGACTAGTGGCTGAGAGTGGACATAGTTACTGTCTTAGTTAAATTAAGCAACTAGAATGTATCTTCTTCCTCACTCATGCCATTCCTAAGAGTTACATGGTGTCTAAGGTATTGAATCCAGCTGAGTTGTGGCCAACATGCAGGACTTAATTGTAAACCAGATTCAGGTGGAAGGGCAAGAAGTGTAACTAGAAAACTGAGTGATGGAGAGTCGGCAGTCCACAGTTGGTGGGCCCTGCTTTCTCCTCACCCATCCGCCACCTCCCCAGAGTTACAGTCCTCATCTGTTTCAGTCATGATGGTCTGTCCCCGTCATGGGGCTGGAGTGTGGACAAAAGGAGACTGTCTACAGAAAGCACAGAGCACAGACTTTCCAGGAGATAGCAACTGGTGCTCCATGTGCTACACGGCAGAGTGAATCACTAAAGGGTTAGATACATTTGGAGGGACGCAGATGTGTATGAATTGGAATCAGGAGCTGGGGACTGGTTTCATTCTAACCCTGACCATCTCTCCAGCCCCTTAGATTAGCTTTCATATACAACTCAGGGCAACCTACCTGGGAATGGTGCCGCCTGCAGTAGGCTGAGCCCTCCTACATCAGTTAATAATGAAGACCGTTCCCCATGGACATGCCCACAAACCAGTCTGGTCTAGGCAGCTCCTCCTGCCGGGAACCAGCCCAGCCCGTTACAGTTTAAAAATGGGACACAGCATAAGTTGTAGAGATAGCTTTAAAGACTGATGGTCTCTGGCCTTCTAGCCCTCTCACTATACTGAATGCTTGCTGATAAACTTTTGAAAAAATCCTAAAAACTTTCTTGCTTATTCTGTGGTTAAAAAACGCTGGCTTGGGCAACTAACACTATTGCCTAGCAGCGGGGAATTTAGTGAAAAATGTATTGCTATCTCTCCTGTCTCTGTCCAGGCAGCCAGAAGCCTCTGTGGCTAGGCTGGTTAACTTTTTGTGAACCAGAGAGGAAGGAAAGAAAAATAATTAAGATGCTTTATACAGGCAAGTATGCACAGACATATATACATTCACAAACACACACACTCTGTCCAGGCCTGATCATCTGTCACAAACAACAAGTATTCATGCATGCTTATATACATATATAACCCACACGTGTACATATAGACAAACAGACATGTACATTTTGGATGGATGGATGGATGGATGGATGGATGGATGGACGGACAGACAGACGGATGGACGGGGCAGAGCTCCCCAAGCCAAACCGTCCAACCAACAACTTTATTTCTTTTCTCTGGTCTTCCTATATCTTCTTAGACAAAAAGTTCTTTAGAAAATTACCTCAGCGATAAAATGTTACATAAAATAGGTGTTACAGAAGGATGTTGATATTAGTTCAAAGCAGCGATTCATTCTAATATGCTCATTATAAGGTGTTACATGGCCTTGCCTTGTCATAGTGCACACCTGTGACTTTATCCTTGGACTTAAATGCTTTTCCTTGAACACAAAAATGTCCAAAGTCTATTTCTCTTTTTAATGTAATTATGAAAGCTCATTATATTTCTTATTATGCGGCCTTTTACTTACTATTATGAGGAGTGGGCACATTTTATTCTTGATTCTAACTTTGTTACATCCTTCTAGCAAAGTGACTAAGACCATCTTTTAAAACTTACTAAAATTTGAGTCAAATCAAGAAGTCTATAGAATCATTAATTCATCTAAACAGCACTAATTCATTAAAGTTTATCTTTATGTTAATCTGTATGAAATCTGATCAATAGTGTGGGCTAATGCCCAGGGATTACTATATTAATTTAATAATAACAGGAAAGGCTTATCGGCTGCAAGAAGCAATCCTGAGATGAAGTCTTTTTGAGATCACACCATGGAGCTCACCCATAGCAAGACCATGCAAAAATGGTGGGCCACCTCCAGGAAGGCCACCTGCCTATCCTAGATGACTCCTGACATCCTCCAATCTAGACCTATCTCTCAGATGACTATAGATTGTATCAAGTTGTCAGTTAAGCTAACTAGGACACCCGTGTGGTCCAGGAGTCTAGCCTCGGCTTGAAACATTGTAGGTGCTCAGTAACCTTTGCAGAAGGAAGGAACCGGAGACTCCACATCACTGCTAGAGCAACCTGCCTGTGTCTTTCTCCCTTGAGGTCCTTGAACACGTGCCCCTGCTGCTGTACATCCTGGCAGCAAAAACCCTGATCCTTTGCCTGGCCTTTGCGGGAGTAAAAATGTTCCAAAGGAGAAGCCTGGAAAGAAAACTGCAAGCTGAGAAGCAGCAGCAGTCAGAGAAGAAAGAGAACTGAAGAGATGTTAGAGGTACTGGAGTTTGCAAACAAAACCTGTCCAGAGGGCGGCAGTGCCCAACCTAGGATGTGGTGGCCTGAAATGTCTGCATCCTTGCTCTGAAGGGCTGTAAGAGGGCACATGGGCACTGCAGCCAGGGTGCAAAGGCAGAGCCTCAGCCCCACTGCTGACCATTTAGAGTATCCACCCTCTGCCCTGAGCCTGTGGTGCTTCTTAGTGGGAGCGGGTGGCTCAGGACCCAGACTCTAGCTGCAGACCAGAAAAGCCCATGCACTAAGGCATGCACATTTGGCAGAGGAGGAGATGGACACAGGCCAAATTAAGGAACCCTGTTTTCTTCAGGATGATGTCTGGCTCCCTGTTGGCAAATAATCCCTTCCCAGCCTGTTCATCATCTGGCCAAACCTCACCTGCCCACTACTCCAGTCCTCTCCCCATGTTCCTGTGGCATTTCTGCATCGCGGAGACTTTTATGCCCCTGTGTTCCTAGCCAGCCCTTCCTGACATGTCCTCCCCAGGCATTATTACTGTAGCTGGTGCCTCTCTATGTGCATGGGGTGGGCTGGAGGGCTCTGGAGCATGCGTGGGGAAGTCAGGACTCAAGGGTCCTGGGAGCTATTCTTAAGACCTTGCCACAGACATACCTGATTATTTTAATCTGTCTCTTCACGTTATCAAGCTGAACTCTGAGCCTCTCTTAGTATCAGGATTTAGATATGGCGAGCAAGGATTCTAGATTCTGTTTCCAGAACCCAGCTGAAGATCAGGATTTCTATACACGGCTGCGTGGATTCCTGTGTTGCTTGTTAAGAGCGTAGCTTCCCGGGCTCCAGCCTCAGGGCAGGGCACCATGTCCACCGTTCAGTCTGGGCAGCCTGCCCTTTGAAAATCCAACAGGTGATTCTTATACAGTCTGTTCAGCTCCAGGTTACTATGGGAACTGCTTCTGGCATCACGGCCCTGCCCACCTGATGCCACGCTTCTGAAAGCAGGCGCTCCCTCGAGCTGATGAGAAAAGCAGGCTCCTTGGTGACAGCGAGACTGGGGCAAGCGTTTCACTGAGCATGTCATGCCTCAGTCCTCCTGACAACTCCCCAAGGTGACGTCAGGCTGAAAGAACAGTAGAGAACTGAGCTGGGAACTGAACCATGCTACTCACGCCCCAGCCGTGCCACCTCCAAAGTGTACAGTGACGAGACTGTAGGAGCACTGCCGTATGCCACTCGCCCAAGGCTGCTGCCGCTCAGAGTGGAGATTTTCCAGACGGAGGAACGTCTTGCCTTTCAAAACTTGTCTTATTGACTGAAAACTGAAAATAACCAGGAAGTGCTTAGTCTCAGTGCTACTTGGAGAAGAGGGGGATGATTAGCAGTTTAAAATGCCGAGGGCAGACAGCTGAGTTAAGTGTTGGTTAGGTTTATGATGCAGGCATAGTCATGATGCCTGTCAGCTGAGAGGAGGGCGGGAAGCTCACTTGTGAGCTCATCGGCGCCTGTTATGTCCACTTTTTCATTGAGCCAGTGCCACAAGCGTGGATGTGCACACAGCCACATAGAACTGGCCAAGAGCTAGCCTGTCTCTCAGGCTAGCTGCTTGTCCAGCCTGCGTTAAAGGAAGAAATCCGTGGTGTCCAAATGCACTGATGGGTAGGTCAGGCTGAGTGGCCGCCCCTGGAGTCTCAAAGCGCAAGCGCAGTTGGTACCAAGCATCACGCTGTTCTCTTCAGCACTGGTCTCACTCTGGGGTCTCCCTTCCTTTCTAGATTTTTCTCTTTAAATGTCAGCTTGGGTGGACTCTGACAGAGAAGAGAGAACAAAGACTTCACAGAAGAGGACACACTTCTGGCCTAGACCTTTAACTTAAATGATTAAAAGTGTGAATTTTTATACATTTTTAGAAGAACCTGTGTTTTGTTTACTGAAATAAAATACATTATTCTTAAAATGGCTGTCTGCATTTTCTCTCCCTCCCTCCCTCCCTCTCTTCATCTCTCCATCTTTCCTCCTTCTTTCCCTCTCCCCTCTCTCTACCTGCTCCCTATCTACCTCCCCCCCCAACACATTGCGAGAGGACTTTTTCAGGACTTCTTTTCTCTGCCACGTTCTGCTTGTGGAGTTTTGATAGCAAATCTTGGGTGCGTGTGCATACATGCCCACATCAACGGTGATGCTTGCTGTAGGGGACAGTCCCCAGCGATGGGAGCATCAGTAGAAGCCTCCGCCAGCATGTCCCCACTTGCCACCATGCTTCTTCATGTGTAGCTTGTTTCCATGATGACATGGAAACATGTTTGCATACCATCAGAGAAGCTGTGTGCTTGTCTATGACAGAACCAAGAGGGCTGGACCCTGTGCCGGCCTGGGAGGGTTTTGTAAAGTCCATGGAAAATTACCCTCTGACCCCCTCCCTTCCCAGAAGGGTGAGGCCACACAGTCCCTAGAAAAACCACAAGATCTCTTCCTTTCCAAAAAGGGTGAAGACACATGGTTCCAAGAAAAACCTTGGGTTATCAGACATACGGAGCCATCTGACAACAGATAGCTCCCCGTTAGAGGGTCCCCCACAGCCCATCAATGCCAACCAACCAGTTTATCATAAAAAACACCTGCCCTGTTCAAACTGTATATATGCTCCTGCCCGAGTGCATTCTTGGTTGCTGCTTCTCCTATGTGAGCATGCAGCCCCAATGCCTTGGATTAATTAAATCCTCTTGTGATTGCAGTGGTTGCCCTCGGCGAGTTTCCTTCTTGGGATCCCGGTAGTGTAGCCTTTTGGGCTCCTCAGTTTCTGTGGGGAGGGTGAGAGCCATGACTATCACAGTAGCTCAGTCTAGAAAGAGCTACTTTGTAGAGGCTGGGTAGCGCACATCTTGTAATCCAAGGAGGTTGAGGTAGGACTAGCGACAGTTAGAGGCCAGCCTGTGCTACTAGTAACTTCTTGACCAGTCTGATGCTTTCCCCTCTGAGAGGAAACAATGGTGAGCTCCTTTGCTCAGCACCTAAGAGACCAAGGTGCCTAGAGGCTTGATTTTCTCACCTCAAGGTTCACACATGGATGGAGGGTTAAGAAGGCGGGAACCAGCCCTGGCGTGCTGGGAACTGCTGGGTCCCACTGCAGATGGCCACGTAGAAAGTTTTCAGGAATGTGTGGCATGTCTGCCACCTTTGCCCACTGGATAGAACATGAAGAGTAAGGAAATTGCAGATATTACATTTTACTATGATGGCTAGATGGTCCTACCCATTGGGAGGGAGCCAGGGAAGAGTCACACAGCATCAAAGATCCAAGTACAAAATGGCCCTCAGCTCACAGAGGGCAGATGTCAAAACAGGTAAGAGCCTGTGCTCCCTGAAACTCCCCACCCCATAAGGAGGGTGCTCCAGGCTTTGTCTGGGAGCTAGCAGCCACTTCCTCTCCAATGGTCCCACTCTGGCCTGGGGCTAGCCTGGGGTACAGATGAGCAGAGTCCAAGGTTTTGGATCCTCCGGCTCTGCCTAGATGGAGCTCACACCTGACCCTGGACCACAGGCAATTCTCATGTCTTTGTTTAGCTCACCATGCAGCCTCCTGCTGGTGGCCCCACCCCTACTCACACTTCTGTCTGCATTTTGCAGAGTTAGGACACAGGGCCCTGGACACCATCTCCTCCCACCACGCCCATCCACTTTCTTCCCGTATTCAAGACAGAGAGGTCCACTGACCTTAACTAGGGAGCCCCAGTCTGCCTGACCAGCAGTTTTTATGTGAAGCACAGCCTCCTGGACCTTGGGATTTAAAGTTTACCCCTTGGCTTTGCAGAATTCACGGCTGTCTCCTTGAATCACTCAGTAGATGACCCAGGGGTTGGACTTAACCCAGTGCTTTCCTGAGACAGGATAGAGTTGTCTTCCTTTACTATGCAAATGCACTCTTCTGCCACTAGAGGGAGATGATCAATCACCCATTAGTGCTATTGGTCTTATTGCATATGTAAATGAACCCTGAGGATCAGGCGCTGTATTTTAAATAGTAGCTTTGGATGCAGTGGCTAGAAGTTAGTAGGCAGACAGGACGGTGCAGCCCACAGCCAGAGTCAGCAGCTGGGTGCAGTGAGAAAACAGCATAGCCATTCCTGGGTGTCTGTAAGATGTCACCATGTTCTCCCCAGAGTTCCTCTGGCAGCCCCCTGTTAATCTCACACATGCACCCCTGACCTCCCTTCTTGGCTAAGCTGACCAAGCCTGAGATTCACAAAGAAAGATGGGGAAATAGCAAGAAAAATAAGCTGACCAGAAAACACCTGATCTCCACAGGTCAGGCTGGAGGCGGTAGCCAGCAGCCTCACGTCATGCACCCATGTGATGACATTTGTCCCTCATGGTGACCTTAGTAAAAATAAAAAAATAAAAATAAAAAATAAATAAATAAAGAGTAAGTAGCTTCACACTCTGATTTAGGAGGCAGAGACCCACATGATGTGTTTCGGAGACCACAGAGCCCTGGCTATGCTCAGGTTCCATGGAGGGAAACACAGATGTTCAACAACTGGTTCCTAGAACTTCCATGTGCTGAGCCTTCATGGTGCTGTCTCTCACCATGGCTTCATTGTATTGGGATTCCAGAGCTTTGCTCAGCGCCAGGATCGGTGCCAAGCTCCCGGGTACAGAGATAGGTGTTCAGTCACGACTTATGGGAAGCCCACTCTAACTGTCAGAACTATGTTCATGGTCAATGTGGGTCAGGCTTTCTCCTGCCCTGGTGACCAGCTTTTTTATGAGAGCTTGCTCATGGCTCCAGCTCTGGAAGGAGTCTGGAGCTGGTCAGGTTCGTGAGGCTTCAGGACCTAGAGGAGAGAGGTTGGAAGTTTGTGGTTTGGAACCCTCCTGCCCTGTTCCCAGGGTCTATCAAGTCTATCTCTTCTGTTAGTGAGGCCTTTGCAAACTCTGTGGACTCTCTAAGCCCCTTTATGCCATCTGGCAACCTAGACATAGAGAGATGGATAATTAGTGATCTGAGAGTTAGTATTAGTTATTTAGGTTAGAATGAGCACATTTGTCAGTGGCCAGCCACCAAGGGAAATCAGAGTACTTGGCACATTGCAGCTAATTAAATGGCTGGCATAGCTTCTGAGTTTATTCTAGGGAGTTTTCCCTAGTGATCTATGGTGAAAAGACCTTTGCCCCCAACAGAGGTAGGACCCTGGGCCCTAGTGCCTAAGGTCCATCATGTGCACCAGGACAGCCCCCTTGGCACTTATAATAACTTTAGTACCTAAAAGTCTGGTGACATCTCTGGGGACTCCTGGCCCAACCTAATGCCACCTGGTGTGTGAAGCCAAGAAGAGATGGGCACAGGGCTTCCTGGTAGAAAGTCTTGGATTCTGCTGTTGTGACAACTCTGGAATTTTGGTTTCTTTTAAAAATACAGAAATATTATTAACAACATGCTTTCATTTTATTCCCAGGTGTGAGGATGTGGGGCTGCTTTGGATTCTCCATAGCAGTTGACTATGATTTGCCTTGTGCTCTAGCAGAGGCGTGATTTTTGCCAGGTGTAGATAGTTTCTGTGATTCTGTGATATTTGGAATTCTGGGAACTTTTCAGAGGGTACATAAACACTAGTGCCCCTAGAGGCAAGGTGGATGGTTGCTAGTTATTTAGGGAGGTTGGTTACAGTTTGTTAGTGGTCAAAGAAGAAACAAATGGAAAGAAATTAGATTCAGGAATTTTTCTAATTCCTCTTTCCCCTCTATCTTCCTTTCCCTCTTATCTAGTGTTAGGAAGGAGGTGAAACAGGTGGGGGAGGGTGTAAGGAGCCGCTATTAGAAGATGGTGCCTGTTTCCTGTGTCTGAGGTGGAAAACAACTGTATTGGGGTTGTAAACACCTGCTGTGAGCACGGGTATCTTTCAGACACGTTTCCTCACCCTCCCAAGCAGTATGCAAATAAAGTTCTGCAAGAAGCACCAATTAGACACTTATACACAGTTGTGATAACTATTTAAGCAGCACCCATTTCGGGGTTCGGCGAAGACCCCCAATTTAGCTACGGGAGGATTCAGAACTGAGCGCACGGGAATGGCGGTACCGAATGAAGAAAATCCTATCTGGGTGCCAGTGAGATTAACCAGAATTGTTGCGGAGCCAAGGACGTTTTCTAAGAAGAATGAAGAAGCTGTGGTGGACACTTTTAGTCATGATGACTTATGAAGAAGTGCTAAGTATTCAGTTATGGGCAATAGTTAGATCTTGGCCCGTACCTATGCCCGTTCATGCCAATTCTACTGTGTTGCCATTGTTTACTTCTACTCAGTGTTTTATGGAAGTCCCATGTGCGATGCCTATGGGACAGGAGCCTGTTTTATACAATGCTACTGCATTTCCATTGAATTTTACTCTCTGCTTTACTACTAAGGCTACAGCTCATACTCCGTGTATCGTACTCAGGAACGCCACGTTAACAAACTGGGTGGATCCTGTCGCATTTAGTGAGGTTGGTACCGGAGTCTTGGTTGAGGCACTAAAGCAGGTGTCAGCTGGTATGATGACAGGTTCAGGAAATATTTCAAATAATGACAGGGCCTTATTAAATATAACTACCATGTTGCTCCGGAGTAATGTTACCTTGGACATCACAATGGCCCACCCGTAATGCAACATACAAGAAAGTTTTGCCTTGGTGTCCCCCTGATCTATCTTTTCCTCCAGTTTTTACGCCATGTCAATCTAGAGAATCTCCTGACATGGAGATTGCTTCAGGATTTGCCCTTTCACCTCCTATAAAATGGGCTGCTATCAATAGGACTGGTATTCGAACAGGAAGGCAAAATATATGGCCTTTTTATCAATGGATATTAACAAATATAGCTGGAGCCAGTACTAGCCTTTCTGCATTTGTCGCTATGCAAGGTCTATATCATGTGATACAAAATATCTCAGCCACCCGCTCTAATAATAGCTATCCTT